AAAAAAAAAAAAAAAAAATCAAGATATTTTCAATTTAAACATAGATATGAAACAATACAATATAACCTACAATAACTTAGATTATATCATTGTACTAGGTCATCAAATCAGTGTCAGTTTCTGTCAAATAAGCTGCCTGTAGTGTCTTTAAAGGTCCAGCAGGTGTCAGTATTCTGTGAGACAGTATCAATGCCTCAAACCATCACTAGTGAAAGTTTGAGAACCTCTGTTGTAAACAACAACCTGCATCATAAGGAGTTACAGCAGAAAGGTCAGGGAGAAAGCTCTGGTTAAGTTTAAAAAAGGATTGTCCCCTGAGAGCTGTTTTCTAACTGTCTGAAAATGGGAGAAGGATGGACATCCATCTAGCCTGACAGTCTGGAGGTGGAGAACATTCATCAAGAAGGAGCAAAGATGATCACTGGAACTCTGAGGAGGTAATTTGTCTCTTTAAATTAAATAAATCTAGCCTTTAAGGAAAAACAGATTAAGAAAGCCATTGCTAAGAGAAAACTTACTAGAAGTTCACCTTTAGGTTCTCCATGTAGGAGAAGGCACTCTGGTCATAAAACAAGACGAATATATAGTAGTGCTTTGTGTTGGACTATCCTAATAAAACACAGTGGAGAAAGATGGTGACAGCTTTCTTCAGTAATGGTGGAGCCTTACCCTCAGGGTGTGAAACCAATGAGCTGCGTTTGTCTTCAGTGGTCCAAGGTACCAATATCTGACAGGAAAAAAACATTATAGTGAATCATTGTTTGGTTACTGTGACTCAGAATATCTGTAGCAATCTGGATCTTTTTACTTGCTGATCTTTGCAGCCACATCTCTAAAAGCCCCCCAACGTAGTCCAATCAGAGCAAAGACCGGCTGCTCCTTCTCTCCCTGCAAAACGCATAAAGGCCAAAGAAATTTCAGCTTTGGATGAAATAAAAGGTCACAGTGACGTAAAAAATGTTTTAATAAGCATTCAGTTATCTTTTTATTTTTGTTTTTTTGACCCCGAATAAAGTAAAGAAACAGAGGAAGTTTGTTAAACCCGGTAAAATGAGTAACTAAGTCTTTCTCACTTGGATTTGAAGCACATCCACAGGTACCGTCTCCCCTTTCAGAATGGACAGCGTCGCTGCTGTAATGTCTCTAAAAGTTTCACACGGAGCAGAGATTTGGAAAATGAATACAGAACAGATCGCTCCCCAATTACTCAAAATAAGGGCTGTCAAAAATATTGATACTCAAAAAAATATTGATACTCAAATGCTGTATTTGGATATGATGCTAATTAGTCATGGTATCAATAGTAAAGTGTTGCTTGCATATTTTAGCTACTGATTATTTTATGTTTTTTGATTATTTGCACAATAAAAGAATAAAATTTGATAACCTTATACTTATCTTATCTCGTTTTTTTTAATGTATTTATTTATTTGAACACTTACTTAGCTAGAAGATGTGACCCTGCTAAGATAATAAAATATTTTTTATGCCTTTAATTATTTGTCTTTTTTCTCTCCAAATAGTATAAAAAAATGGTATTGAGTATCAAATNTGACCCTGCTAAGATAATAAAATATTTTTTATGCCTTTAATTATTTGTCTTTTTTCTCTCCAAATAGTATAAAAAAATGGTATTGAGTATCAAATGTTTTCCACGGTATAGATAAAAAATTTGTAATTTTTGTATTGAGCAAACCCTACTCACGATAGATATGTGTAACAAATATCTGACATAAAGGTAGATTTTATTGCAGAAGCAAAAGAGTAAATTCCAAACTTAAGTTCCTTGTAACTTTTAGACGAGCCCCTTGTCCTACACACCTCAAACAAAGACTAAACTGTTCTAGAAGCAAGAAAGTCAGGCTTACCAAAACTCTTCTAATTAGTTTTTATTTCTAACCTCTTTAAAGCAAGAAAACATCCTCATTAGTTAAAAAAAGGCTACAAAAAAAAAAAAAAAAACAAAAAAAAAAAAAAAAAAAAAAGTCTAACCTCGCCCATATTTTAACCCGAGCTATAACTAGAAACAACTGGAATTGTTACAGACAGGGCTGGAGCAAAATCTGGGTTTAACTTGACACCAGAAGAGTGCGCTACAGAAGTAAAACTACATCCCAAAAACAGCCTGTTAAAGAAATGCAACAGGGTAACTTCACCACGTTTTCAAAGCAACCATTACAACTACTCTCCATAAGTAAGTGGTTTCTTAAGAGTTGTGTTTTGGAAAGTGACTTTCGTCCAACCATCACCAACATAAACTCAACTGGGACTTTGAATGGAACTATGTGCTTTGTTCAAATAAGACTAAGATAAAAAACAAAACAAAACAAAAAAACCCTCCATGTTAGTCTGTAGATAAATAAAGGAAGCATATGTGGGAAGGCATCTCTTAGCTAAGGAAGAGGAGCTGTGATGCTGTGAACCAGTTTCTTTTTCAAACAGATATATTTTCCAATATAAAAGTTAAGACTTTTTATCATTTCCCTGTATGCGATTATGCTCCAACAACAGTCTGGAATGAGCTAAGCCTGTATTTATATAAAGAAAAACATAAACAAAATAATTAATCAAAGCTAAAATATCAAAGTGTTCCTTTCGAAGAATTTTGCTATGATTATGTTATTACTTACTTGACTTTATTGTCACTGAGGAAATGAAGAGATTGACTCAGAGAATTATGGGAACCCAAAGGAATGAATCCAATTGGTGTACTGCTGAAGACGTCCTGGTATCAGAAGAATCATTTTAGTCCGTGATAACAGATTTATTCTCCTGACTTTGTCAAACCTACCTGGTCCGGCCTGCGCAGTAAACCCGTGATGACCTCCTGCAACGTGCCGTCTCCTCCAGCCACAATCAGCATGTCTGTCTGTTCCATAAACTCCATCAGTTTTTTAGCCTGACCCTCATAGTCTGTCTGAGGAGGGTTTCGTAACACGTTGGTTAGAAGTTGGAGACAAAAACATATATACAGAATTACAGAAGCTGTAAATAATACCTTTACTATAGTAATTTCCACACCGGCCAGATGTAGAATTGGAGCGGCATTCTTCTCAAATAAGTTGTTGGCTTTCCTGGAGAAAATTCAAAATGTAGATCAGGTATCTGGTTGCATATCTGTTTCCCCCATAAATCAGGGCTCCTTCACAGTAAGAATGGACTTAATAATAACAATTGAACTTTATTGATCTCACACTGGAGAAATTAACTCTCTGCATTTAACCCATCCAATTAGGGGGCAGTGGGCTGCCATTGTGCAGCGCCCAGGAAGCAGTGTGGGGTTAAGGGTCTTGCTCAAATAGCCAGAGTGAAGACTGTGGGGATCAAACCAAGTACTTGCAACCTTCTGTAGCCACTAGTCCAACACTCCTCCCTCAGAAAGATCTCGGACCAGTAATCGAACCCGGAACCTTCTTGATGCAGCAGTGCCACCCACTGCTCCATTATGCAGCCCAGGCTGAAGGCCAGATGCATGGGGAGGAAAAAAAAAAAAATAATAAATTCTTACCCTTTACAAGCTGCAGGGTTCAGAATAACAGTTGCTTTCTGTAGTCGCTCCTGAGGCGCTATCTGCTGGCGTCCAAACTCCTGACAAGGGAATGCAGATCAGGAATTTATAGCACCATTTGTTTAGCTTTGATAATTCAAATAGATTATATATATTAAAAAAAAACTTGAACTTACCCTGGCTATAAGACAGGCCTCTCTGCGCACCACGCTGTCACTAGTAACACACAAGATGGACCATTCAATAGGTTTTAATAATCAATTAATCAACTCAAACTTACAGTTAAACAGCTCTAAAACCCACCAGTGTTTACCATACAGCCAGTACCCCCCATAGGACAAGACGCACACAGCAAACGTGGATTTCTTCCAGTGATTTCTCAAAGTCCGAAACACTTTAACAACCCGAGCCATTGTAAAAATAACAACCCCAGCCCTGCACTGTCAGTGAGGCATCAGATGGGTTTAATTTAAAGGCATAACTGCTTGTTTTAATTCAGCGGTCACAGACATGGCGGTGTAACGCCAAAAGCAATCGGGCTGAAACAACCCGGAACTAATGTTCGTGACACATGTTAGAAGCCAATTTATTCAAACCGGTATTACAAATTATTAAAATTCTATTTTAAACAAAATAATAACTGGCATACAATCTTGTAAATCGTAAAACTAATCTGAATTTTATTCCTATGTTGTTTTCCATGTATGGACATGCTAATTACATTTCCCGTCAGGTAGCGGTTCATGGATGGTCTGCAAACTGCGAAGACCCCGCCTGCTTTAAAAAAAAAATTTACACGGAAACTTTTAAGATATCAGAATAACAAAGTAGCTGAACACGCATATACATATATTATATTTAAACGATTTTTTTGTTTAGACAATTATGTGGAAGTACATTTTTTTTTATCACGTTATATTTTACACCGGCACAAACACAAAACCTGCTTCCAGAGCATTTCTGACTGCATCATGGCCGCGCCGATGGCGGTAAATTCAGGTAATGGTGTTTATTTTTATTTTTTTGCTGTATTTAAGTCTGTTTTTTTGGTGTCTGTGTTTTATGTCACATATAAATGCTTACAAATATAATGTTTAATCCGTTGATATTAGTTTCTATATGCTTCTTTTGCATGGCTCTTGCAGATAGCCTATTTTAGCCTAGCTTAGCTAATTACTTATGGCGTGTTGGTGTATAGAAAGCAGATTAATGCTGTCACTTTTCATGACACACTATAAAGGGAAACAGTATGTCCACTTAAATTAGACATTTGTTTAGCAGTAGTTGGGGTGACAAGTTCGTCTAATTGGAACGTACATTTGAAACTAAATGGTAGTAACAGTTATTAAGTGCTAATATTTATCAACAGCCCTGTGTAAATGAGAGCTGAGAAAATATTCAGATGATCTTAGTGTCAAAATGTTTTTTCTTATATGAAATGTACTAAAAAATACCTTACAAATAAATCCACTATCAGGTACGTAAGTCAAACACGAAGATAGTTGTTTAATTTTCCACTATTTTGACTTTGATGTGCTGTGTGTCCGAATTTACATAGAAACATGAAACGTTTAATCCAAAGTGAAATATTCTTCACATCCACAATCGTATATTGACCCCCCTTTGTTTAATACTGCAACAGTAATCAGAAATATTCTTCATAAAATGTCAATCCTTTTGCGGTTAGAAAAAACAAGTTGTTACATTTATTTGTGCTGTTTATTTCTTTAATCAGCGTTTATGTTACAGAGGAAAATAAATAGACAATATACTGTAATAACCAAAATATATTTTAATTGAATCAGTTTTAAAGAAGATAATGTATTTCCAACATTGACATTTTTTTGGAGTTGCTGTATTAAGACATCTCTAAGGTTCGTACTTGCCTGCAGTATTTTTCCAGCTTTTATTGTCATTAGAGTGTCACAAGTGCATAAAAAAAAGAACTCTCTGCATTTAACCCAGCCCTTTTGGGAGCATTGGGCTGCCATTGCTCATCATCATCATCATCTTATATGGCTGTTTAAAGCCTAAACTGCAAATTATTTAACTTCCAGCCAATTTAATTGACTTCTTTTGTTTGTTTTCAATCGTGATGATGGAAAACAAACACATAATGGGGTAAAATTTACCTCAATTCCAGCTGATACCGATGTTGCAGTTTTAAACAATAATGCAGTTGAACATTATTTCATCTGGTTTTGAGAAATCTGATTTCCTTGGAGGATGAGTAAAAATGCTTTATGGCTTTAAGAAGTAAAGCAGCAAACACGGCAGAGTAATGAATTTTTCTATTCACTCAGGGGCCAGTCTTTGGGGACCACTCAAAGAGCTTTGGGAAACTGTAGATGGGGCCATACTGAGAAGACAACCAGAGACCCTCCACCTATTGGATCTGCAGCTGAAGAAACACAAACCACACTTTCTCTCACTTTTTAAGAATCCGGTGAGGATATGGTCTTGCTCTTTTTAAAGGCCAACTTTAAAAAGTGTTTATGTTTTAGATTTAAATGTTTGGAGATTTTATTCTGGCACTGTTTTTTTCTAATTCCTTAGTGTGATTAAATTAAATGATTGGAAACCAAGCAGAAATTGTCAAAAATTATGGCCTTTTTGCCATTTTTAGCCCAAAAGTCCAGAGCAGAGGGAAAAGGTCCGTAAAGCCAGCACAGAAGGCATCGCCATCCAAGGTCAGCAGGGTTCTCGGCTCCTTCCGGAACAGCTTCTCACTGAGGCCTTCATCCTCAGTGATTTGTTCGACATCGGAGAATTGGCAGCTTTGGAGCTTCTCTTGGCAGGTAATGTCAGGTTACTCAACACTTTTTTTTTGGACAATGTTAAATGCAAACACAGAACAACCCTATAAAATACACCACCTTCACCAGGTGAACAACAACAGCCTCATTTCCCCGGCCTCACGAGAGGCTTGGTGGCCGTGTTACTCTACTGGGATGGAAAGCTCTGCGTGGCCAACTCTCTTCGCACACTCATCCAGTCACGTCATGGCAAGACCTTCACTCTGGATTTAAGGTAACGCATGATGGTGAAATATTTGCACAATGAAAAACACTTTTAAAAGCCTCTCAATGAGCAGTTCTGTCACTGCTTTTCCTTAGACCTGTGTAAGTCTTCTAATGGCATGACATCAATTGTCTCATATAGTGGGGAGCTGGTTGGCTTGACAACCCGTTTTACAGATGAGCTGATGAGCCAGGGACTTACCAAACGCCTTCTTACCTTGGTGTCAGAGATAAGCGTGACGCGGGAGTTTGAGCGGCTGCAGAAAGAACGTGGCTTGGGAAACGAAAAGCACAGAAAAGAGGTGTGAACAAATCTACTGTAATAATCAGAAGCATTAACAATAATCATCAAATGTATTTATTATTCCTGAAACTCCTCTGGCTTTTTTAGTAAGAGTGGAAATGCTGATTTGGAGAGGAAGAGCTACAGATAAGCTGAATACTTTCTCTCTCCCTGCTTCAGGTTTCTGATCTCATCAAAGAATGTCGACAGGCGCTGGCAGACAGCTTGTTTTCATGGACCTGTCAGTCGCCACTAACTAAAGATGACACCTTGGCTCTCATTGGTCATCTAGAGACGGTGACAGCTCAGGCTGACGGTTCACTGGACAGTGTGAGCCTTGCTTTGGTTATGGCTCTGCTCTACTGTTTGGATGTCAGCTTTATAGAGCAAGGAACCGAAGACAGAGAAGGTGATGGGAAAAATGGCTAAATCCATTTTTTGAAATAAAGTCTAAATAACACCGGCTGCTTTAGTGCTGACAGCTCGATCTGTTGATGTGTTCCCACAGATCTTCTCCAGGCTCTACCGTTGTTGACAGAGAGGCAGTATGTTGCTGCGGTCCACAGCCGTCTGATGGACAGCCAACCATGGAAGCTTCCAGGCCTGCAGGCTGTATGTCGACTTGCCTGGGCTTTGGCTCTCCGAGTCCTTTCTCAGCTACCACAGGGAGCAGGTCAGTCTAGAATGTCTTATACTTCCTATAGAAATAGGTTTCTGGTTCCTGAAAAGATTTTGGAAATTGCACATTTTTCAAGTCTGAATAAGTGGAAAAGAAAAAGGGATGAGCGAATATTCTGATTTTTATACTCTCTCTCATACATGCGTCTATACATCCCATCCCTCAATCCTATCAATTATTTAATAATGTTTTTTAGAAATTAGGTAGGAAAAGAGGGTAAATAATTGATGGTTCAAAATGGACAGACAGGAATGATGGATGAAGGTACAATCTAGGGCTGGGCGATATAGAAAAAAAGCTTATCGATAAAAAAAAATGCATATTGATCGATA